ACTAAAACCTACAACTACAAAAATGATGTTCAGTTGTGAGAGTTGAGACCTAATTATAATAATAAATCTATGATCTAATCTAGTCAGCCAAAGAAATAAAATAGTCTATCCAAAATGGAAAACAGTGTAGAGAAACACAGGTGGGTAACAAATACAGACGAATAGAAACTAGACACGTGTCAAACTTACAACATGTTTAATCGTTTAAGAAAGAATCACGTGGACTTTGTCTTATAAAACGAAGCATCATCACATAGATATCTTCTTTAACTCACACACACTCTTCATTGCAACAATTCCTCTGTTTTTACTTTCGATTCCCTTCGTTGAAACGCGAAAACACCGATATGGCCGACGGTATTAGTAGTAGCAGTAGCTCGTCGGAATCCACCGTCGCTTGCGTCGGTGGTGGTACGAGAAGAGAGATTATGCTGTTCGGAGTCAGGGTCGTGCTTGATCCGATGAGAAAAAGCGTCAGTTTGAACAATTTGTCTGAATATGAACAAACAGAGGACTTCCAAAAGATCGAAGATGGACAATACAAGAACAGCAAAACCTCCTCCGGTTACGCCTCCGCCGATGACGCTGTTCCGATCTCTTCTTCCGCCGGAACTCGCGAGAGGAAACGAGGTACGAATCTTCATGTTTGATTTGTATCGTCTTTCTCTGGTTTTGAAGAAAGAGTTGTACTTTTTTGTGTGAAATTTGTGTCTTTTGTCTTGATTTTTGTTGATGATTCAGGAGTTCCATGGACTGAGGAAGAACACAAACTGTTCTTGCTTGGTCTGCAGAAAGTAGGCAAAGGTGATTGGAAAGGAATATCAAGAAACTTTGTAAAGAGCAGAACGTCTACACAAGTAGCTAGCCATGCTCAGAAATACTTCCTCCGGCGAAGCAATCTCAATCGTCGCCGGAGAAGATCTAGCCTTTTTGACATGACTACTGATACGGTACAATCTCTAATCCTCTATCATCATCACACTCACTGATCTTGTGTCTGTGACATGTAACATGTTCTTGGCTTCAATACACAAAAGAGATCTTGCTTGGTTTTTATTATCAGGTCATGCACATGGAAGAAGATCAAGTGATTATTCAGGAAAACACATCACAATCACTGTCTTTCGTACCGGAAATCAACAACTTCTCTATAAATCCGGTTATGCAAGTCTTTCCCGAGTTTCCGGTACAAAGGAATCAATCATATGGACAGATTTCTTCATCGAATCTCATCGGTCTTGTCCCATTAACCTTTCAAGAGATGTCTGCACCGATCTCTCTAAACCTCTCACTTGCTTCATCTAATCTTAATGAGCCTTCTTCAACAAGGCATTCAGCATTCAACACGATCCGAGTCGCTTAGAACAAATCCCAAAGGTAATTCACCATCTGCAACAACCCTGTTTGTTTTTATGTTGTACAGATAGATCTTGACTTGTTTTTTTTTTTAATATAAATATTTTCAAATTTGTGTATTTTGATGAAGAATAATAAACAGAGTTTGGAAAGTAGGACTAAGTGGGTTTTAGGGTTTCATGATCATCTTTTTGTTTTTTCCTTCCATGTTTGGAAGTTGTTGTAATACTGTCTGGTTATTTACTCATTTGTGTGGATCTATCAAAACTTATATATTGTATTAAGGATAAGATATTTTGTGGTTTATAGAATAATCTCATTATCTTTAATGATTCCAATAATGTCACATTCTATTGGTCACTTCCATTATAGTGGAGCTTTTTCATTTCACATCAAAATCTAGATTCTTTTTAAAAATATATATTTAGTGTGGGATGATTAGGTATATACATTACCTGTTACCTAAGCAATAATAATCTTCCAATCACATAATATGATGTCCATTCAATAATCAACCAATCAAAAAACATCATGTATATATATATATGTGTTGACATGTCCTCTGTTTCTGTCGTGTATGGTTGTATATAATTTTTGCGTCAACGACAAAGTTCTCCTCACGTCTAAGCGGGAAATATTACATGAATCCCATTTTTTTGTATCTCTCTTGTCTTGAAATTATCTCTAAATTTGTCAAAATCATCCTTTGTTTTTGGGTACTTTTCTCTCCTCAAAATTCCAGTCTAATCTGATCTGTTTTAGACTCTTTTAAACGCAGAAATAGAAACACAAATCATCAAAGAAAAATCACAAAAGATCAAGGATCTCTGTTTTGACCTAATTTGATTCTTCATATAATGTATATACAATTGCTCTGTTTCTTCTTGTTCTTGTTTCTTCTTTTACAAGCAACAATGTCTAAACGATCTTTCAAGAAATTCGTTGAACAAGAACTCGGATCTCGTCCTCAATTCTTCATCTACACCATTCTTGAATGGACTCTCATCACCATCCTCTTCATCGATGGTGTCCTCGCCTTTCTATCGAACCGATTCGCTAGATTCTTCGATCTCAACACTCCTTGTCTCCTCTGCACCAGAATCGACCACGTTCTTGTCCCTCGAGATCCTGAATTCTATTACAACGATTCAATCTGTGACTCTCACAAGAAGAAAGTCTCTTCTCTTGCTTATTGCCATGTCCATAAGAAACTCTCTGAGATCAAACATATGTGTGAAGGATGTCTTCTCTCTTTCGCTACCGAGAAAGAATCTGACTGTGATACTTATAAGTCTCTCATTGGAATCTTACACAAAGATCTTGAGCTTCTCATTGACGATGAACGAGAACTTCCCTTGGCGTTCAAGAAAGATGATAGCTTTGTTCAGACAACAACAAATCTGGTGGATC